CGGCCCGGCGGGTGGGGGCGGCTCGGCTCGGCTCGGCTCGCCTCGCCCGGCCAGGCCAGGCCCGGCCCCTCTGCTGCTGCTAATAATAATTGCAATAACAACAATAAGTCATCATTATTAGTATCGTAATATTAATATTAACAATAAGAAAAACTGCTGCTAATAATACTAATTGCAATCACAATAAGTCATTATTAGTATCGTAATATTAACAATAAGAACAATTGCTGCTAATAATACTAATAATTGCAATAAAAACAAGAAGCCATCATTATTACTATCATACTATGAAGAAGAAGAGTGATTATTATTGTAACATTCATATTAATAATAACAATAATAGTTATTATTACCATCATCATTAGATGATGATGATGATGGCCAGCCTGGTCATTATTATTGTAATAACAAGACAGACTAGCCTGTCATGGTATCTGCTAATAGGAGGAGGATAGTATTGCACTCTTTGCAAGCCGGTGTCCTGGTTTGGAGGCCTGCATGGTGCCTCGTGCCTAAGCCCTGGGCAGTCCCAGCCCCTGGTTGCGCTGTGTGGTGGGGACGGCTGCGCGGGAGGAAGGAAGTGCCCTTCTTGCTGGAGGGGGAGCAGAGGGAGTGCGAAACGTGGGTTTGTTGGTGCAAGGCAGGAATCAGGCCCTCAGGGGACGTCTGTAGTGAAAGCGTGTGGAGGAGTGAGCCTTGCTGCCGTGAGAAGGAAAACAAGCTTGATTTGCCTGCCTGGGGCATAGCATGTGGGATGTTTTTTCTGGAAGTCAGAGGGCATGGTTTTGATTATGCCGTGTTGTAGAGGATTTAGGAAACAAGATGTGGAGGGTTTAAGAACCCACACGGAGGACTTGGACAAAACACGGAGCTTACATCTTGCTGACAAGTCAGCTTGTCGTCCTCAGAAGGAAATAAAAGTCCAGATACAAGCTATTCCTTTCTTAAATAGTAATGTGCTCACACTGCCAAGTGTGGAATCTCTCCAAGCATCCATCCTTGGGCTGTAGATGACTTTTGTATCTGTATTTTCTGTCATCTCTGTCTTTGCTAGTCACCTGAAATAAAATACTGGACAGACATTCTTGTATAGCCTCACTCCAGCAAAAGTACATGGAGACTTGCAGTATGGATTTTTTTTCTCCTTAAAGGGAAGAGCATATCAAAAGTTCCCTATTGTAATTTATTTCTAATGTTTGATACACTAAAAACAAACCGGTATGTATGTGTAACTGAATGTTCAGACATACCCAAATTTATTAATGTAGCTAAACATACCATCGCCGTAAAATTCAGTCAGCCCCCTGGAGTCTGGCAACTGTGAATGTGGCAAATTTGAATTGGTACTGATTTAAAAAACTTTCAGTATGGATGAAAGTAGATTAGTAAACTGTTGTTTTACTAATTGCTGTCTTAAATTGTCTAATTGCTGTTTTCCTATCATGTTTACATTTTTGTATTTGCTGTGTATGTTTTTAAATATGTTTCAGGAAAATAAAGTGCATCATGTTTGCTTTGCAAAACGTGCCAACTCCAAAATCCATTTGTAGTGAAGTGGCATCCCTCTGACATCCACATCATTTAGAGAAGTGAGTTAGAAAAGTGGTGTAGTTTTAGCTGCCCTTCAATGCAAGTTAAGGTCTAGAAACAAAGAACCTCTGCCCCAGCTTCATTTCAGGTTTGTGTCTTACCCTATTGCACCTGCACTGGTCTCTAATCCATTTGGTCTGGCCAGTCTCTTCCCTGTCCCCCAGTTTTTCTTGGTGTCTTTCACTCTGCCATCTGGCTTCCAATCTGAGCCATTTCTGTCAGTCCCAGCTCTCTCTCTTCCCCATCTCCTGTGTCTTTGTCCATCCAGTCCTACTACTCTCCCCCTTCAGTCACAATCTAACCAGACCCCAAGTCCCAATCTACGCTGTCCCGATCTGGATTTTGTTTCTTTTGTGTTTAAATTTACTTTCTCTTGGGTGCCACTTTTTCCCTTCCCTGATCATTTCTACCAAATAAGCCAACCAAGGCCTAGGTCCACCTTTGCCCCTGTAGCCCAGTCCTTAAAAGAGTATCATGCCATGTCACTCTGAGAATGGAATGAGTACAGTTTGTTCACACACAGGAACATAGACTCTTTGGAGATTTTAGCTGATAACTCTAAAATACTGCCATTGCAATATTTCAGATCCTTACAACCTGGCCATCTTTGGGTGAGGTTTTCCAGGCCTGCAAAAGGCACATCCCTGAAAAAACGGTCACCAGTTCTGGTCAAATGTTAAGCCTCTGTTTAGGGTTGTTGTTTGTAGCCGTGTTGTTCTAAGCACATAGACAAACAAGGTTCTCTGGGTAGATGCCATATCTTTTATTAGACCAACTAAATAGTTGGAAAAATGTTTTTTTGTAAACTTTTGAGCACAAATACTCTTCTTCAGGCATAGAGAGAGTCTGCTGGAGAATTGTATGCTCTCCCGGGTAGAATAAAACCAAAATGCAAAATGCAGGCCTGTGAAAATGCAAATGCATGATCTGTATACAGTGTATTTATTATTATGGCAGTGAGGATCAGAGGGATAGGAGACAATAGACATTAGACAGTAGACTGTTGTCTCCTATCCCTCTGATCCTCACTGCCGCACATTTCACCAGCAGACTCTCTATGCCTGAAGAAGGGTATTTGTACCCAAAAGCTTGCAAGGAACAATTTTTCCAGCAATTGAGTTGATTTATTAAAAGATATCACATTGACTGTACACAAAGAACCTTGTAAGCCTCTGTTTAGAAGCTTAGGGGCATTTTACCTATGCAAGGTAAATGTCATTAGAATTTTTTTTAAACCACTGACAAAATGTATATTTCCAAACTTTATTCTCAGAAACAGGCTGTTTTGGCTAAAATTAAAGAAAACAAAAACAAAGAATTTAATCTAGAGGCAGATCGTGTGCAACAGGGGACTCAACTCAAATGATTAAGGATTGCCAAAGTTATAAGCAACTGAAAAAAGCTCTTGTTCATAATCAGTAGTGCTACTAGCTTCACTGGTAATATATAGTAACAGGGGTAAAGGCAAATTGCATATGCCAAATAATATCTCAGCAAAAATTGAAATAGTTACTTAATCTTAAGACTTTGTCTACCAATTTAATTGGTAAATTGTGCCAATTCAATTAAAATGTACCAATTTAATTAAATCAATTTTAGAGATTTAATTAATTAAATTAGTGTAACCCATTGTATAGATGCTAATTAAATTAGTAGAGTTTTCTTATATTGACAATATCTTGGACAATGTCTTGATCTGCTCCTTTTGCTTTCCCTGGGCTTTGGAGAAATTTAAGGTGTAATCACAAAGGACTTGTGATCTTTCAAATTGAAATTAAGCCTAAATATCAGGGCTTGTCTAAAATGTCATCCAAACTTCGAGAACAAATAAGCACTCACATTTAGATCTCATCCAGTCTGTAACAAATATAAGCAATTCAGTGCCTCTGTTAATGCTAGGCAATGGTATAGATTCAACATGATTATGAGGTAAGAATCACTTTCTGAATTGTTATTACAGCCTCCTAAAGATTATGGGTTTCTTTAGGAATTCTTCAACTTGAGTTTTGACCAGGCCCCATCTCAACTAATTTTATGTAGTGTGAAATGATCATACCCCAAGAGGTTACTTTGCTGATTCTCCAAAAAGCAATTAACCTGTGCAATACTAATAATCTTTCTTTGCCATCTTTTGGTCTTGCTGGATTGCAGGTAGTAGAATGTATGTTGGCGACTATCACTTGTACGCCAAAATGAAAAGAATGGAGTGGAGTTTAATATGAACTATATCTAAATCAATTCTGATGGTTGGTGGAAATGGTTTAGAAACTTTTACTGGTGGTTAGACAAGGTTGGTAATTGGCATTACTTCAGTAGTATGTAACAGGAATTACTGAATTTGTCAGCTTTTATATGGCAAAAGACTGAATATATCTTGATTCTTTTAAAAACTCTTCAAATTCTTTCACAAATAACATTCTTCACATAACATAGTTGAAATACATCCATTTCATACACGGCTTCATAAAATTTTCAAATTAACTCTTGTCAAACCTATGAAATCTATAACTACAGCATATTACTTTAAGAATCACATTATAATTCAGAATTGGTCATGACAGGAGTACAATATAGTCTAATAATAGCCTGGAGATGCTAAAGAATAAACTATAACTGTCAGTGTTAAATTCCTAAATATAGTTTTCATTCAGTGATTAACCCATTGCTCAGTTTAAACAACTAATTTTATTCATTTATAAAGTGCATCCATTTTTACACATATTGGGTTCAGGCACAAAATTAAGACAAATCTGTGTGTGTGTGTATGTGCATGCTTACATGTACGTGCATATTTTATTTGTTCTCACAGATTCTCAAAATAAAAGAAAGCCAATGCAGCTTTTAATTGCAAGCCAGTAGAAAAAAATAGCATTTACCCTATGCCCTTTTTGAAGCAGTATAGCAGGTGGCATTCAAGTGGGGACTGAATTCTTTTGTTAATGACTGCAAAATATGGGAGCTGAGGAATTATGGACTTTGCAACGTGAGATGTTAGATTTACCTTTTTAGTACTAAATATCATGGAACATATAGCACATAAGGGTCAGCTTTTAGTCAGTGTGACTTACTGTGCACGGATGAGTAATTTTAGTCACACCAGGACTAAATGAAAAATTAAAGGCATATACAGAATATGGATAAATGGGGATGAAAAGATTTGTTTTTGTTTGTTTATTTTTTTTAATGGAAATGTAACTTCAGGAAATGTATGCCACCTGTAGGGCGGAAAATAATTAATATATTTTTCCACTACTTTCAGTTAGTTTAGATAAAGTGACATCAAGATGGAATAAGGAACTACAAAAACAGTTTTTAAAAAGTTATGCATTTAGAGTTTTAAGATGCGTAAATTTTGTGACTGAAATATTTAACTTCTGAAACTCAAACTAAGCAGTTATATCAGATTGCTAAACAAAGTGGTGTGAAGTTCCTAACACATGAATAAATGATTAAAGGCATCTGCATACAACTTCCATATGGAAAGAATATTGCATGAGCTCCAGCAACACAAATTCCCCTAACAATCCTGAACTACTAATGTAATCAGATATGCAAAATGCAGTGTTCACTTACTTTGAATAATTTGTATAATGGCAAAACCTGAGAAATTCGTATAAAATGCTCCTCGCCTCTAAGGGCAAGTGCTAAAGTCAGTTTCAAGTATTTTAGATTAATTAAAGCAATTAGCAATAGCCATCACTTTAGAATATTAGCACCTATCTTTACAGGCTTCTCAGAGCTGGTGGAGGACTTAACTGTCAAAGAAAAGGCATATACACAGATTTCTCTCAAATACTAGGACCATCAAGAGCAATTTATGTTTTACCCATGGAAAAGTCTCTGTTGCACCAAATGAGTGAGTGCAGCAGAGCTAGGGGGATTATCAGAGAGCTGGTGATGGCAACCGTTCTCTGATGATCTGTCCCAGAACTGGCACAGGGTAGACCTGC